TCATCTGAGCTATCGATATTTGAATTTTAGATATTTTCAAATACCGACTAAAAAATACTACACATTCACTTGTTTGTTTTGACTGATTATTTTCCTATTGGATTGAGTGTCTGTGAGACACTTGGTTAAAACTTTAACTGGAATTTATACTTTAAATTATAATCTATAATTATAATATAATTATCATATAAATTAATTATAATTTGCTATAGTTAACATATGAGAGATAGTTGATGTGTTGCTTAGAGTTTTTATTATGTCATTTTACTTTAGTGATGAACATGAACTTAAAACATTTAAGATTTGGTCAATAATCTTCTTCAAATTTCTTTTTTAAAATTGAAGAACCGTTGATTTTGGTGGAATGGCCGTTTCTCTGGTATTTTTGTGGAACGTGTCCCTTATCGATTTATCATTCTGAGCAGCTTAAGCATCGATATATTTGCATATAAGAATACACGCATACACGCTTGACAGCGGCAACAGCTGATTTTTGTTTTGCGGCTACGTAGCCAGAACCGCAAATCGCACTCGTTGATTCCGCTAGCGATGTGGACTTGACAATGCTCGTAATTTAATTAGGGACGCATGGAATGATTGTAACAAATCTCTTAAAATATGCAAAACGTTTGTAAAGCCCTGCAGGTCATCGGCACTCTGTGTATCCTACTCAGCCTCGCCAAACAGCTCGTTGGGCAGAAGCATTATTCACGTTCGCGCAAATTGGAGCTGCGGTAGGAGTTATATTTATTTGAGTATGATCTGTGTATATATGTATATGATGTGTGCTTGCTATGCAGGGAGGATGTGCGCCGCATGTTCCAGCACGCCTACGACGGCTATCTCAAGTACGCCGGCAGCTATGATGAACTGCGTCCGCTCACCTGCGATGGCCACGATACGTGGGGCAGCTATTCGCTGACCCTGATCGATGCCCTGGACACACTGGCCACCATGGGCAACTTTACGGAGTTCCGTCGCGTCCATGCGCTCATCGAGAAGATGAACTTCAACAAGGACATCAACGTGTCGGTGTTCGAGACGAACATCCGCATTGTTGGCGGCTTGCTGTCGGCGCATCTTCTATCGCGTCGCGCCGGCATAGATGTGGAGCCGGGCTGGCCCTGCGCCGGCCCCCTGTTGCGCATGGCCGAGGATGTGGCGCGGCGTCTGCTGCCAGCCTTCGACACGAACACGGGCATGCCGTACGGCACGGTCAATCTGCGATACGGCGTGCCCAATGGCGAGACCTCCGTCACTTGTACGGCGGGCGTGGGCACCTTTCTGGTGGAGTTCGGCACTTTGAGCCGGCTCACGGGCAAGAGCATATACGAGGAGGTGGCCCTCCAAGCGATCTATGCGCTCTGGGAGCGACGCTCGTCCATTGGACTCTTTGGCAATCACATCGATGTGCAGAGCGGACGTTGGACGGCTCTGGACTCGGGCATCGGCGCCGGCGTCGATTCCCTGTTCGAGTATCTGGTCAAGGGGGCCATCCTGCTGAATCGCCCCGAGCTGCTGGAGTTGTTCGCCGAGGCGCGGACGCCCATTGACAAGTACATGCGAAAGGACGATTGGTATGTGTGGGTGGGCATGAACAAGGGCCAGGTGACGCTGCCCGTCTTCCAGTCGCTCGAGTCCTTCTGGCCGGGCGTACTGAGTATCGTGGGCGACACAGAGTCCGCCATGCGCACGATGATGCGCTACATTAGCGTGTGGAAGAAGTACGGCTTCCTGCCCGAATTCTTTAACATTCCAGCCGGCGAAGCGGCGCCCAATCGCGAGGTCTATCCCCTGCGGCCCGAGCTCATCGAGTCGGCCATGTACCTCTACCGGGCCACCAAGAACCAGTATCTGCTCGAGCTGGGCGAGCACATGCTGGAGACGATCGAGTTCAGTGCGAAGACCAAGTGCGGCTATGCGACGGTAAGACTTGAGCTTGAGATTCCCTCACTGCAACTCATTCCTCCTCCCATTAGATACGCAATGTGGTCACCCACGAGAAGGAGAATCGCATGGAGTCCTTCTTCCTGGCCGAGACCACCAAGTATCTGTATCTGCTGTTCGACGAGGACAACTTCCTGCACAACGCCGGCGACGATGCCCACGGCGTGCTGCTGGACACGGAGCAGAATGTGTGCGTGGTGCAGGCGGGCGCCTATATCTTCAATACGGAGGCCCATCCCATGGACATGTCGGCGCTGCACTGCTGTCACAATGCCAAGGATGACATCTTCACAATGCTCGATCTGTCCGCGTTCACGCCGCGAGCTCTCGCCGAGCGCAGCAGCAAACAGCGCCTGGCCGCGCAGGAGAAGTGGAAGCCGCAGTGCCAGTCGTCCAGGCCGGAGTACAGCCACGAGGCAGCTGGCGGGGCGAGCAAGGCACCACCTAGCCCCAGCATCGGTAGCAGCAGCAGCAGCACCGTCCCCTCTCCCCCAACCATGGCCGTGGACATCGAGGTGTTCGATGAGTTCCAGCAGCCGGCGGCGGATGTGCTGGTCAGCAATTTCGAACGGATACGCGAGGAGCGCGAACTCAATCGGACGGATCAGAGCGGCGCCATCGCACGCAATCAGTTGACCGTCACGGATCTGGACGACTTCTTTGGGCAGCGGCGCGAGCACTTCGCCACAGCGCAGGAGGTGCTCAGCTATGTGTCCAGCTTCATGGGCAACTACACCATGGACGTGACCTTCATACGGGGCCTGCAGCTCTTCGATGGCAACATCAGCAGCGTCCTGGGCGTTGCCGCCCAAAAGGAGTACGAGAGCCGGATGCGCTCGCTGTGGCAGCTCTTCGAGCTGGAGCAACAGTTTGCGGTAAATGTGCGACTGATTCGCCGCCTGGGGCTGCTCAAGGTGGAGCCGGAGGCCGACAGCGAGATGATGCGCAGCTACCTGGCCAACATACTGGACACGCTCGATCACTTCGAGCAGCTGCAGCAGCAGCAGCTCGCCTCAGTCAACGACAGCGAGGTGGAGCTGATCCGCAATGCCATTGAGGCGGCGCGTCTGGACTACGAGCTGGCCATGCTGAATACGACGGCCATGCAGCAGTTCATGCATCGCGTCTATCTGATGGGCACCAACGAGGCGCAGCTGCAGCAGTTCCAGCCGTTGCTCAGCGACGAGGAGCTGGGCACGTTGCACGTTGCCGTCAGGCAGCAGCAGCAGCAGCAACAGCCGTCGCCAGTGGGAGCCGTCGAGCAAAGGGAGCGGGAGCTGCGGGAGTTGCTCAAGTATACGCGACGCATCGTGGACTTTCGGAAGCGAATGTCCGAGACGGTGGATCGGCTGCAGACGATTATGCAGGATTTGAAGACGGCCAAGACGGAGCCAACGACGCCGGGGCCAGTGCCAATGCCGCCCATAGAAAACACTGCCACGCCCACCGATGCAGCAACAACAGACCTCGCAGACAAGCAGAAACAGCAGCAGCAGGAGAAGCAGCAGGTGCAGCAGCAACAGCAACAGCAAAAGGAGCCGCCGTCCGATGATGAGGGCTCCGTGTGGTCGCAGCTGGTGCAGAATATCCTACGGAAAACGACCGTGAAACGCATCAAATTCGATGAGGCCGTGCTCCTGGAGAAGACGCGCAAATCCCTCGAGAAGCACGCCCACAAGCAGCTGTCCTACGAGCTCTTCAGCTGTCGCCGGCCGGAATATATCGAGGCGTTTGCCTACCGTGAATTCTATCCGGATGCGATATGATCTGATCTGCTGTTGACTGATCCTGTAGATAATTAGCCATTATACATAAGTCTAAACATGTATATATATATATATATATAGAGTCAGATATATATACATATATATATGGTTAAGTGCATATTCAGTTGTTGTCTGGAATTAGTTAATGCTATTATATAATTTATTAATAGTTGTGTAAACGTCAGCCCAGCTCCATTCCCTTCTCCCTTCCATTCGTTGCCTCGGTTGGGTTTGTTTGCTCGGGCCGTAATTAATTCTGATTGACTGTTGACTTTATTTCCGATTAAATCGGTGTATTTAATGTCTTCGATTAAGCCCAAGGGATTGCACAATCCTCTGGGGCAGAGGCCCGGCGCCTGGCTCCAGCTGTGGGCGTCCGTTTTTGATTCCTTCAAGCGTCAGGCTTCCTTCGGCTGAGGCGACGGCACGCAATGCCATTTACAATACCCTGTACATCATGCGAATGGGGTATGTGCAGGCTGTACACTAACTAAACATTTATGGTTAAATAACATCGGATTGAAGTCAAATTAGTTCCTTTCAAATGCATTTACACATGGCGAACTTCTATGCGATTCTCAATATCATTTAAATGAGTGTATAAAACAGTTATTTCAACTATAATTATAATTGTATAAATACACTGAAACTATGTATGGTATAAAATAGTTTTTTTTATATATTTTTTATATAAGAAGATAAATAATGCTATTCCATGCGATTTCAAAGGTATTTGTTGAAGTATAAAATGAGCAAATAAATAAATTTAATAATAAATTAACATTATTTCACCCTTTTTATTGCTTGATTTTAAAATGTAATAATCCAACAATCCCAAATGCACTACACTATCGCACAAAACCTTAAGCTACCGGGTAATCTGTAGTCGATCATGTCTTTGCTTGTATTTATTTTCGTACTATTGCTGCATACTTCAGGGGCTCGCGTTCGGTTTCGCTTTGCGGAAACGTAACGACAGCGAATGACGTGAAATGAACGGTGGAAGCAGCGAAAGGGAAAACTTTTTGCAGTCATGGATAGCGATAACGATAATGATGATGATGATGATGATGATCGACTTTGTCCCCATTGCAAAATAATAAATGGCAAAACGAGCTGTGACGTTGACGTCGAATTGTGTGTGTGTGTGTGTGAGACAGAGAAAGTATGCTGGCGCACGTGTGTGTGTATGTAGGTCACGCCGCTGCTGCCGGTATCCATTTGTATGCGTTATATATATTATATATTTACATATATATATATATGTACATATATATGTGTATATTTGTGGGTGCGTGTGTACACTGGCGAAATTGCCTGTCATGGGCTGCAGTAATAACAGTAGCAAGTACGAAAAACAATAACAACAACAAAAACAACAACTAGAACAACAATAAGAATGGCAAAAGTTTAATGAGTTCAAGTTTTATAAATGAAAAGACAGGTGTCCTTGCAGCACAAATCCCAATCGCAGACGTCGACGGCACGCTACGCGCCACAGACGTTGTCCTCGCCCGGCCGGATGAAGCCAAAAAGCGGTGACAAGGAAGACGAGGATGGCGATGATCAGGACGATCACTTCGAGGGCGATCCACGGCCCATGCCTTACGACTTTGAAAAGGAGTTGATTAACAATTCGAATAAGCATATACGCATATCTGAAGTCTTTGGGCCGCCTAATATAGGTATTTACATATGTGTTCTATTATATAAGCTAGTTTTTTATTTGCAACTATTTTCTGGTTGACTTTGTGGCTTTAAGACTGTAAGTTATAGTGCAATTAAAACTGTGTGCCGTTTCAATTCCTAATTCCATACAAGCGAGAACAGAGCACGAATACATATACTCTCCCTCTCTTATCCGTTGACGAAATGCTACGAAAATTGTGCGAAAGAAACTAAGTAAATATCGGTTCATCTACAAATTAGAACTAGTTTGAATATTCATTCAAAAGCGCGTAAAGATGAAGTGAAGTGCCACAGTCAAATAGTTTAAAAATCATTTAATTTTACAAAAAATTAATATTAAATATTTTTTCATTTCAGTATATCCAATCACTTCCAAATTTTATTCCAAATACGAGCCACAGTCAATTTTAAAGAAACCAGCGCAGGCGCAGCGCCACAGATTCCATAAAGCACCGCCAGATTATCCGTTGCTGGAGTCACAGATGTACGGCTGGATGCCGTTGCAGTGTCGAGAAGCTGCCACATATTTAAATTGCATACACGCGCCAAAACGGCGCTGCCGCATGACAATACATGGAGAACAAATTATAGCGGGCCGAATTACTGAGCGTCCGCCTTTCAACGGTCTAAAATTCATACTTCATTAACATATGTTACTTATACGAGATAATTATCACATGCCCTGATGAAGTAAACTAATTTTATTTTTTTTTTAAATTGTTTAGCTATGATTTGGGGACCTGTATTATCGGCAGTTCCATATTTTCAAGCTTTGATTCAATTCCATCCACAAAGTGTGGAACAAATTAAAAAAATTTCTAAATTCTGGCAGCGCTGCAGTCGAGGACAAGTTGGCAGCTCTGTTGTTTTTAATGTTTACTTTTTAATGTTTGTGGGTTCTGGGGACATAAAATGGAAATAAATGCGGCTTGTTACTAATATTGTAATTATACGCTGCACCTGGAGAACATGGTAAGCACGCAAATCCCAAAATAAACTTTGAAGTAGCAAAATCGAAGTTTATGACATTTGTTGCCCTTGCAGCGGCATTTGCCGCTTAATTTGCCCCGATTTTAATGCCTCATTTATTAACAGACACAATCAAATAATACGCACGCAAACCGCAAAGGCGCCGATGAGGATTCGCAGTCTTTGAATCCAGAACAACTGTTAGAAGGCCTCTTCCAAGCATTATATAGGCTATGTAAGTAAACTATATTTAATAAGCCCAAACATTCCCTTTTCTTTTGTATAGTGATCAAGCTTTTCCTTTATAGGGCTGCAGGGACGCCGGGTCGTTTGCTTCATCATGAGCGAACTGGGCGGCAATGAGTTGTTCGAAGCTGTCATCTCCTGGTCGGTCCAGCATCCAGATCTGGCGATCTGTCTGCTGGCTGCATGTTTTGTTTTCCTTTTGCCTTTGCTCATCATTTTTGGCTTTGGTTTCATAACCTTGCTAGTAACGTTTACAGGCATTCTTGTACTGGAAGGTAGTTAATAATAATAGTATAAACTATCTCTATAGTTGATATTAATATCCGATTTTAATTACAGGCACTTTACTGACGTTTGTTTTTATGATATTTTTCGCCTGCATTGGCAGTTTGGCTATTGCCTTTCTCGTTTTTGCTGTTGTTGCATATTTTGGATTTTCGCAAATCTATGGATTCCTTGGCATGGAGCGTTATCGAGATGCATTTCTAAGATTTTTACAGGAAAATATAAGTGCAACAACTGCTAACGAACCAAATTAGAAATAGATTAAGCAGGGCATAATAATAGGTTAAGGCTATCGAAATGAAAATATGTAGAAGTTCAAGTAAGAAATAGATTGTAGTATGAATTATTTGATCATCAGGGTTTTTTTATTGTTAGCTTTTATTCTTTTTTGTTTATTTGCCGACTGTTTAATTTATCGACTACAATTCGTGCACGATTGCTATCGATAGTTGTTTTGTGGTCACCCTAATATATACAAATAGTGTTTGCTGCAGAGATTTGTTTATAAATTATTATTAATTCGGTGCATATATATTCGTGTATAAGTCCTGTGTCGCAGCAGAGAATTTTGTTGCTGACACGGTAAGTAAAACAATTACGTTAATTATTATTAACAATTCTGTTAATTATTCTATATGAAGTATTAACAAGAAAACAATTAGATTGTTGACAATGGATACACATGACATACAAACATACATATGTACATACTTAAAGACAAATCTACCCAATCTGATCTTGAACAAGTACTACTCCCTATAAAATAGGCTAAACGTTTTATGCATCAGCTAATTTAAGTTATCCCTTAAATAAAAACAACAAAAGATGAAAACAATTGTATCGAGTATATTAACTTAAGCAATCGATAATAAGTACAAGAATCGCGATATCCACCGATAGTATCGCTGAAGGTGTTGCAGGTCTTTTCTATGTACACACATACTTAGTTTTCGCTGGAAAATATTTAGTAATTTTCGTGTATTTAAGTGCGAGAAAATAAATAAACCCTGCTTTTAAGCAGACTAAATTCCTATTGACGCGGTAAGTAGTTGAAGTTAAGTAAGTTGAATGTTGAAAGTGGAGATGGCTGATGTGGAAAATTTTGTGTTAAAAGAAACGTAAGAAAGCTGCTTATGAGCAAGAGAAACAAGTAAGCAGCGGGGGTGTGGTAGATTCACATATACAGCCATAAACACTGTTAGTTGGATATGTATGTATTTATGTATGGAGTCTCCATGTTGTTTAAATTGCTATAAACATAAACAAAGCCAGGTAGACAAGTGGTAATTATTTATTGTGTGAATGTGATATAAATTAATTATGAATTAACTCATAAATACTGCCAAAATAAGGAAAACATGTATTTCTATGCTGTGCACGGCGTATATATGTATGTACAAATGTATGTTTGTATGTATGTATGCGTGCAAGGGAGCTGTCACCTTTCTGCGCAGCATAAGACATACATATGTACATACTTAAGTACTCAAAACAGATAAATGAATATATAGAAATACCTAGTTTAGTGTAGTTTGCTAATGGTTGATCCTACTATTTGTAAATGTTGTCATTAAAAATAATTACAAGCAAGAACAATTTCCATGAAAATGTATGTAAATATGTATTTTATTACCATTTTGTATCGCAGCATATGGCAACACTGTTAAGCTGCATTGGAGTTTCTGCCTTGTGTACACAGTCTCTCTCACTCTCTCGCTCCCTCTCTCTGTCTGCTTCCCGATACATCTCGCTCACTCTCGCTGCACAATGTATATATGTATATGCGTGCAACGCGGCCGCTACGGCGTCGTTCTCACTGTTTTCCAGTCACTTGTCTGCTTCGTTCGGTGCTGGTCGTTCGTTTCTTTGGTTGCGTGTGCCTAGAACCAGTATAAGGCTTGCCACAAAAAAAAGTAAATAGGCAAAGCAGTGAAAACTCGACTACATACAAATATTTTGTTTTTTTTTTTCTCTGTGAATTATTAAAGAAAAGGAAAATAATTGATTTTGTGTTGAATTAAAATTGGTTTTATAACTTGCGTATTTAAAGCGCGTCAGGTTTTTAGCTGTGCTCTTCGCATTGCAGGTAATTTTCAAAATCTACGCTTGTTGCCCTACATGCAGACACACCACACACACATACGTCCGTATATCTGTATGCACATACAAATGTATGTACGCACTATCTAAAGTATGCACCTTAGCATATTTTGTTTGCGCCGCAACGTCTTAAAACGGAAATACATGTTTGTTCGTACCAATACATACATACATATGTACGCATGCATGTGTGTGTGTGCTTTGCTTTGCTTATACAGTAAAAGAAGCGAGTAACGATGCTCGTGTTACCTGCCGTTTTCAATGTATATGTGAGTGTGAGTTGAGGGAGTTAGTGTTCCATCTCACGTTTCCTTCTGAAACTTGAGTCAGCAGCAGCTCTCACGCTTAATTTTTAAACGAAGAGTATGCCAATGTTAATGTTATTATATATGTACAAACATACATTGTATATGCTCATACAATCATAATAGATACTTCAGTTTTCTGGAAATTTTGTGAATGAAAGCCATAGAAACGATTAAGACTATGTGTACATATGTACTTAGAGAAGTATATATGTATGTATATGGAGAGTTTAGGTTCATGCAGGTAGCAAGCCGGTTTAAAAAGAGAGAAAAGTACAGAAACCATGTTTATTTACAGTATTTGCCCATGTTAAGCTATTTGGTATGGAAAATCTAATGCTAATCTACATTTTAATTTATTTGTTTCTTTTAGGTGTGGTGTAAATCGCCTAAATCACCAAGATGAGTTACATGCCAGCCCAGAACCGTACAAGTAAGTCCATACATAAATAATGCTTAAATAATATATATGGGGATACTAGAATTTCAGTACATTTTGTTCTTTAACTGCTTTTTTTTTTTGTTCAACAACAACCGAACTCGTTTCTAAACATTTCAATTATTCACAAATCTTTAAACCAGTTCGATTCCACATGAGCTGCAATAGTGCGTAACTGTAAAATTCTCTGAAGCCTGCGGAAATAATTAGAGAACTATTCTCTTTGTTGTTGCATTGCATAAGTGATTCACTTTGCACTCGCATTCCCTGTCTTCTTCATTGCAACTGATTGAATGTGTAAAAAGGCTTGTGGCTGGGCGGGGCTGGACCCCAATCAATGTTATTGTACAGAGCAGAGCCGAGCAGAGCAGAGCGGTGCAGAACTGCAGCACTAATGCGCCTCAATGGCCATTGACAAACGATTATTTTGCAGAGGCAGTGGCAGGGGAAACGAGGTAAAGGCATAGTTGTTGTTGTAATCGAATACAGCAAACAAATTGTGAGCTAGCTCGCTCCACTGCACTTTTACAGCAAAACCAACAATAACAACAACGAATGAATCTATCGAACGCCATTGTTGTTTATGTTCTTTTGTCAGTATTTCTCTTATTTTCTTTTATTTTTTTTTTTCGAGCTGTAATGCATCTGTCCTTCTGCTTGAGTGCGGCCATCCCTGCCAACTTGTTCATTTTGTTCTTTGCGCTTTCAACATGTTTTTTCTTTTACTTTTTGCTGCCTTTGCAAATTGCGCTTTGTAACGGCAGTTGTTGCTGTTGCCTCAACCACAGCTTCTCATGCTACTGCTGCTGCTGCTGATGTTGCTGTTCTTGTTGTTGCTGCTGCCACTTCATTTGCAATTCGTTTGGTTTGGGTCGTGTGGGTGTATGGGTGTGGGTGTGGGTGTGTGCGTGTGTGCTCTCTTGCTGTTTCGATACGCCATCTCCTTCGCACACGCTCGTTAACTCTTCTAGATATACAAATGTATGCGAGTATGCATGCATATATGCATATACATACATATGCATGTATGCATGTATTTTTTGCCATTGCTACTTCACTTGGGCTGGCGCACGTTTCGGATTTATTTCTGATTTTTGCTCAAAAATTTAATTAGAGCAACGCAGTGAGCAGCGGCTGCTCGGTGGGTTGGGCTCGACTGAAGGGCGTGTTTTTTTTTGTTTGTTTGTCGAGCCGCCCGAGAATATGGCACAAAGTGCGTTTAATCGATCTGGGAAATATGCATGAATAGAGGCTTCAAGGCGGCCTCAAGGACCTGCCAGTTGCAGCGCATAAATAGCGCAAATTAAAAAACAAAGCGAATTGCTGAGCAGGCATAATTAAGGCAAAGTGGCAAACAAAACGCCCAACGCATTTGGAGCTCGATTACCGCCCTATGCTAACACACACACACACATATATATATATATATAGAGAGAGACTATATACATAGACTGCTGTGAAGCATCAACCCTTGGAACTGAGTCATTTGTCCTGGTAGCGCGCTTTTTGGCTTTGATTGCTCGTTGAGACACAAACGACGCTGATGGTTCCGTCTTTTTTTTAATACATATATAAAACATATATACATTTCTTTATTTTTTCAAATTTTGAAAGGGGCCGTCGCTTTT